GGCGGACGGGCGACACGAGCCGAGGTACTCCTCGTCCATTACGGCCCGATTGGCTGAACGGCCGAGGGCAAAGCCCTTCTGGCATCTCACTTCCGAGGATGAAAGGTCCGAGGAACCGAAGCGCCGGCGACAGGACTCCCAATCGAGCCGAGCATATCTGAGGGCTTGCTGCCGCTACCAAGCAGGAAGCATATCCCGGACTGCTTTTCGACCTTTGCCTAGGCGGGCTCCACCACCTGCTGTGCCACTACCACTTGACCCGGGTGCCCAATACAAACACCGCCCACTATTGCGAGTGCTGGCTTCTCTGTGCAGGTACGGTATCGGGCAAGATCCGGCAGAGGCTGCCTCGCCCCCACCTTGTTGGCGAAGGTTGGTGAACAGTCGGCCTTCTGAGAAGGGCTCCCTGCAGCCCTGCCTAGGCCCTGGCAAATCCCTGACACGAACGCCAAACTTCATGCCCAGATCCTTGCAGGCTTGCGGCTCCCACTTACACCGCACTTCCGGCCATGCTATGACTCGAGGTGTGCGGGCGCCCCGCGGACTCCGAGCTCCATCCCGGCCGGAGCCCGACTCTGCCTCTGTAGGCCAGGGCTGCATCTGTGCAACCTAGCTCTCCCAGGTCTGTCTGCTTCACTGGCAACAGGCCAGAGGCCACCAGCCATGGAAACAAACTACCCTGCCTATCATTGCCAGGACTGGCCGGATAGCTACCAGGACGCCACGACCTGTGCTGTGTGTCAGAGGTCTGGTCCGCTCCTGCTTGCGTGCGCACCAGGGATTGCTTGGGGCACCACAGGCACGCCAGGCCACCACCGGCCTTGCCGTGGATACGGATCTGCCCAGGAGCAGGTACCGCCTCGTCGCTATGTGCTGCATGTGCCCCCTCATCGTCTGTCAGGAGATGATCTGCGACCCTGGATAAGCTCAGCAGGATCCAAGGTCGGAAAACTATCTGATTGCTGTGGCTTCACCGCCCCTGCCGTGTCAGGACTGTCTTCGCTACTGGAAGGAGGATGCACACCATCTTACACTGCACCAGGTGAACTGCTAAGTTGTGCGTGCAGGAGGAGGACTCTGAGGGCCCTCTCTTTTACCTGGCCAACCCAAGGTGTGAAGGATGTCGATTACATTACAACAGTTTTCGCCCGGCCACCACTCGCCCTGTTCGTGAGCTCCCAGAGCGTCGTCGCAACAAGATGCCCAAAGACCGGCCGACCCCCAACACCCAAGACATCCTTGACCTCGAGGCCATGGACTGAGGCCCGGACCTCTTGCACGGAAATTGTGCCCTATGAGGCCGTCGGGACCGGAGCACAGACCTTAGACTCCTCTAAGCCGTGGTGTGCACCACACAGTCGCGTTGATATTGTCACAACAACATGCAGCCCACATAAGAAAGCGAAACCGCAAACACATCTCCATTTCTCAACGAAGAGCCTCTCCGGTCCCAAAGTGGGGGGTCGACCTATGCAATTCCCACCGTGCAACCAGTGTGGGTCTCACCAATTAGGCAAGCCGCCTGCATCAACAAGGTCGATTGGGGTGAGGGTTGGGAGTGACTGCCGCCCACTCTTGGAACCAAAGATCCCACCTGTTGGGTTCGGAGGGAAGCCGTGGCATGAGCATCCTCACTGTCTCATCCTCACAGGGACTGCCCTCGATGGCTCCCTGTCTAGTACTCCGAAGCTGCATCCTATGCTTTGGACCTCTCATCTACTTCCATCACAGCGAACCGCTCTTGCTGGTACCAGTCCATGCCATACTACCACCTGGACTGGACTGGATCGGGGGTACCCCCACTTAGAGTATCGTGTTGCACTGTACTACGTGTCTGCACTCAAGCCCCGATACATGCTTCGCTATCTACGCAAGATCCCGGTTTGTCTGTGCGCTGTCATGGCTCCAGCACTACCGCACCTTACCCGCTCTATGAAATCAGGCGGGGCTGTTGCGTCTCGCCGGCGGTCGGCCATGCGATGGGCCCACGCTAGCAATGACCTGCCTCCAGGTACTGCAGATAACGGATCCGCTAGTGCGGCCACTCGGTCGTACCAGCGTGGCCCCTGGACGCTTCGGTGGCTCGTGGCTGCCACCCTTGCGGTGCAAACCAAAGGTGTTCCTCTATCAGAACATGGGCCTCCTGCTACGTCTGGAAGCCCTACGCCAACCAGGCCAGCACAGGCCATGACTGCACCTACCGCAGCATTCAACTTTGCCAGGAAGCGCTCCTACAAGCGCGCTCTTCGCAGAGCGGCCCAGCATGAGGATCAACATACGATCTACAGAGGCCGTGTCTGCACACTCAGGCAACTCTGCCGAGGTTATCATGGCGCGCGAGCCAAACCGGACTCAACTCGGCAGCTCCGACAGGTAGCCCTGCAGAGAAGCAATGATCGCATCCTTGCCATGACTTGGAATGCTGGGGGTCTTTCCTCCCACCTGTGGCAGGAACTCTTGCTGACGGTGGAAAAGCTCCCCCCGCTGGAACGTCCGCAGCTCATTTGTGTTCAGGAAACCCACTGGGGTACTACCGTAGCCCCTACCTTTGTTACGGCCCAGTGGACTGTGTATACCTCACCCACCGCGGACAATAAATCGGCGGGGCCTGCAGTCTTGGTCCATAAAGATCTTCTCAAGAATGCGCAAGTTGCCTATGCTGATCCCAAACCGGGGCGCATTCAGCATATACGCATCATCCACCATCAGTGGACGGCGGGTGTGCTGCATGTCTACCAGAAACCGCATAACAGCCATCCATCCGCGATCAAGGACTCCAAGACGCTCCGGGCAGAAATCTGGCAGGCCCTTCACGAGCAGCTTCGCCGAGTACCCAGACGTAGCACCCTTATGCTGCTAGGGGATTTTAACTGCCCTCTACCCAGTAGCACACATGCAGGTGTACGCATTGGCATTGGCTCTGGCACCCCCCCGCCGGACCAGTCCAGGCTGCAACATGTCCTTGAGACCCATAACCTGGTCCACCTTAACTCCTGGTGCAGGACCTCGGGACCAACCTTTGTGCACTCCAAAGGCTCCAGTCTCATTGACCACGTTCTCATGCGGGTCGAACAGACTGATAATCGAGCCAAACAGGCCTGCCCCAAACCGCTGGGGCTGGCCGAGTGGAGACTCGGAGGCAAGCACATACCAGTGTTTCTGCCGACACCAGAGTACATACGGCTGATAACCCCTTATCCCTCAATCAGCTGCTTGTCCAATGCGCCACGGAGCTCTTCCCTGCTCCCGCCAGGACACAACGCCTAGCTCTTTGGCAAACGACTGCCATGCAAGGCGGTATTAAGAGCCTGTGGGAGCGCTATCGCCGGTGGAAGCTACTTGCCAGGACTCCACCATTTGATCCGCTCCGCATTGCCCGCGCGTACCAGGACTTCAAACAAGCACATCGCGACTTTCGGAAGGCGGGTAAAGAAAGCAAGAAGCAGTGGTATTGTGACAGAATAGGGGATCTGCAGAAGGCTGCTCACGCCCGGGATACTAGAACTCTCTACGCGGGAGTGCGCTCCCTAGCCCCGAAGCAGCACCGAGTTAAAGTTCAGCTGCGTGATCCGCAGGGTCGACTTCAGGAACCTGCTGAGCAGCTCCAGCAGTTGGAAAGGCACTACCGAAGCCTTTATGCCGCGGACTCCGATCCTGAGATGGCAGGTCCCCCCCGCGCCGCGATCCAGCTGAACATGGACCCTGCAGTCCTGGCCAGGGCCCTGGCTACACTATCTCCTCACAAAGCCACTCCACCGGCTTTAGCCTCTAACGCACTCTGGCGCATCACCTCTGATGTGGTAGCCCCTATCATTGCCCAGTGGGCCAAAGAATGGACTAGTATCCCCCAGTTGTGGAGGAATGCGTGGCTCGTCCTGGTACCCAAAGTACCTCGGCCACTGTCTCCGAAGAATTTGAGGCCGATAGGCCTGACGGAATCCAGCGGGCGCGCCTACGCCCGACTGCTCCAGGTACAACTCCGGCCCTTCGCTGCCGAATATCTTCGAGGCGTTACACAATTTGCCTACCTTCCGCACAGAGATGCAGCTATGGCAATCCACAGAGTTGCTGCGCATTGCAGGTACGTGGAGCAGAAGTGCTCCCACGCCACTCGCACAGTGGCGGACCGACAGGAGTGTCAACCAGCTCCTGCACCCAGTTTTGTGGGAATCCAACTATCGCTGGACCTCTCTAGCGCTTTTGATTTGGTCAGATGGCCGCTGCTGGACAGCGCGATGGCTGAGGCGGGGGTACCTACGACGCTTCGACATGAAATCATGTCGTGGTACTACCAAGTTTGCTACACAGTGGAGCACTTGGGAAAACAGGCGGAGATACCTGCCCAGCAAGGCCTACGTCAAGGCTGCCAGCTAGCTCCCACATTGTGGGCTATGGCGGTGGGCTGGATCTACAAACACATTTCGGATGGCTCCACGCCTGATGTAATGCAACCCTGGCTTCAGGCCCACTCCACAACCTACGCCGACGACATACACCTTAAGGAGACCGCGACCACCACCACAGGTCTGGACAAGGCCCTCTACCGCTTTGGGCTTGTGCTCGACGCCCTAGCTGCACAGGGAATGCTTATCAATGCGGGAAGTCAGCTTTTCTCCTCCGACACCGCGGGTCCTTCCTCAAGAAATGGAGGCGACGGCACTACCTCTCTACCTCGGAGGGCGATTTCCTGCACTTCCGCACTCCTGGAGGAACCGCGTATCGTATACCCTTGCGAGAGCAGCACACATACCTGGGTGTCCGGATCTCATACCATGCCATGGCGAGCCATACGGCCCTGCATCGCATTCAGGCAGCCAACGCTGCCTGGCAACGTCTGAGGAAAATTCTCTGCTCCCCCGAGGCAGCTCCAGTTGGCTGCTCGCGTCTCTCTCTGGAAGTCGACTGTGTTGCCCACACTGCTTTACGGACTGGCCGCTGTAAGGCTAGGTCCACGTGACATTGGGAGAGCGCAGGCCCTTATCATCAAACACGCCCGTGCCATGGCACACTCGTACGCGCACCTACAACAGGAGTCCACCATGCACGTGCATCATCGTCTGCAGGTGTCCACGGCATTGGAAAGCCTCACGAAAGAGGCCACTGCTCTGCACAAACGGCTGTGCCTTCTTCAGGACCACTCTGATTTTGTCCAGGTGTCAGAAATCGAGGACGTTCGAGAACAGGCGGCTATGCTTCAGGCCGAGAAGGAAATGCAGTGGACCACCCCCGCTGAACCGGAGGTGGGGTTGCTACCTCACACTTGTGTGGAGTGCGGCCAGAGCTTTGCTTCCTTCCGCCTACTACGATCACACGAGGCTAAGAAGCATGGTCAACGCACTCCCCAGTGTGACACTCAGCCCTTTGATCGATTCGCGCACGGCACAGGCGGCTTGCCCACTTGCCGGCATTGCGGACATCGCTTCAGGCAATGGGATAATCTGATTAAGCACATAAAGAAGAACCGATGCAAGGTCCTCAGGGACAAGCCGTGGCACTCGACCCAGTCATGGCTACTCCTGTGGCTCCAATGGACCCGTTAAGCCCAACTGCACCGGCTCAGGAGAAGGATGCAGCACCGGAACCGCTACCCTCGGCTCCTGCTGCGCAGGGACTCTGTCCTGAAGACTCAAGCCAGCTCGACAAGGCTGCTTCGTCTTGCTGTCCCTATGAGGTTGACGAGGCGCATTCCCCTCCTTGTACCCCGAATGTACCGCTGTGTGCCTGGCCGGAGGTCCGGGACGCACTGGCCCAGGGCAGATGGTTTGACCTGCCCCTCAACAAGCAGGTGCAAGCATATCTTGCACACCACTGTCCGATCTGCATGCAATGGGCTGCAACACCAGGGGGGCTTAAGTGCCACCTTACAGCTGTGCGTCCGACTTGGAAGGCTCTACAGACGGAAGTTCGTAAGCTGCTCTCAGGGTTCCGACGACACACTGTTGTACCCTGTAGATATTGCCACCTCACACAGATTAATAAGGACAGGCACTGGTACCAGTGTCACGTTCTCAGCCTGTGTGCCTTTCTAGCGGTACAGCAGCAACATGACGG